CACTTGACTCTTGTCAGATTCACATTGGCATGATCTAACCTTATTTCATGGAGTGAACTGCTTGCTGCTGCACATCCCGATATTGATATAGATGGAAACCTTCAGATAATTATCCAAAGATACCGGATATCAGGTCAGGAACTCAGGAACTATCAGACATGTGTATCCATAATCAAAATCCAAAATAAATCTTCATTGACTCAAATTTGCTTCAGAATTTAGATCACTTGGAAGGTATCATCAAAAGCCTGAAAAAAAATTGAAACATGTACTTTTGTCACTACAAAATGGTGCGTCGAACATTTTAGCTCATTGATGTTGGAGGCTTCCAAAAACACAAGTGAGTTGTATTTCACCAGCCGAAACTGGGAATTTTATTGTCAGAAAACAATTTGCATGTCGAACCAAATTTCAGTTTTTGTATCTTCGATTATGCCATGAATAATTCTTTTTGAAATTCAGAGAAAAATCCTGCTGTGTAGTAAATTGCTTGGCGTGCCCAGAAAGAGAGAGAGCTCTACTTCGACAGAGACAAAATGAATCAAAAATTTCTTAGTGACAAATTCCTGGTGACAGTGACAGACAAGTCAATTCCATAAGTTGCATGTCTGGAATGACCTCGAAACACATAATCACCAAATGCAAATGATTATGCCACCACATATGATATCCTGAATTTCCTATCCCCGATTGAATATTCCAGTCAGTGAAAGCTGGTAAATAACTGTTGATTAGGAAATAATTATTACCTGTCAAATCCGGGAAGTCATATTTTTCACAGCCACGGCCGAGACCCACCTTCAGGTTCCTAACCATAACTCAGCAAAGTGCCGTGACAAAAGCGAACAACCGATCATAAGAGTGAAGCGTAGAAAAAGTTGGGTTAGAACCTATGAATTCGATCAGAATAATTATAACGTGAAATATCAATACTCGATGATACCGATTGCTATTATATCTAGGTTTCACGGAATTTACATCTATATTCAATCAGAAAGGTGAATAATATGATCATATATATTTTCAATATCCCAGTCTCAACTCATCAATTTGTAGATGATGACAAATTCCCAAATCGAACACTGGAGAAAAATATACCATACAGTGTAACGTTCAAATTTAATATCTCAGGTAGTTCCAATAGTTTCAATGATTAACCCTATAATTCATTGCACAAGTCGTCAATTAATGAGAACAATAACCTGCGATATGACCCTATATGAACCATCCTCAAAATTCCCTGTGATATACACTGGTAGGATAAAGAAGCACTTGATATTTTTATTTCAAACATAATGACAGTTATGCCACTCAACATTGTTCTACTGTACATTTCCATGGTTTGTTCTTGGGCTGAACTTCCAGATTTCCTTTGGGGTAGGTGGCAGTGGTTCCCGTTGCGTAAGGGGGTTGATAATAATAATAATAATAATAATAATAAATGTCTTTATTACCAATTAATGAAAGATAATTAAATTTTGTTAGTGCATAGTTAGGGCGAGATTCAGTTTGTATGCATTAAAAAAAATGTACAGTATGAAATATAAATTTTACATTTAACATACATCTGCTCTTCCATCTAACCCCAAAAGGAAGTCGAAAACAGCGAAAATAATGATAAATAATTTAAATCAATTCATATCAACACAAAAAGGATAAAAAGGATACTAGTTTAGCTCTTGACCGAGGGAATACAATTTTTTTCCAAAAATCTTAATTATTGCTCAGATGAATAGTAGTCAAAGAGAACTCGTTTAAGTTTATGTAGCGATGAGCGAGTGAAATCGTGGGGTAAGTTATTGAGACGGTTAGCAATACAGTAAGAAAACGATCGTTTGAATGACTCAGTATGGTGACGAGGTATAGTAAGAGCATTTCTGTGTCTTAAGTTTAGAGAATGTACATCGGTTCTGAATTTTATTTTATGATACAGATATGGTGGAGAGTGTTCCTTTACTAGCTTAATATAAAACATGGTAGAGTGCATTTCTCGACGATTTTTCATATGTAACCATTTAGTAATTCTGAATGTATGACTGATATGTTCAAATTTGCGAATACCAAAAATTAGTCTTAGGCACGAGTTTTGCAATTTTTGTATTCTTTTTGCATCTAATGAATTTAAACAGGAATTATAAATAATGTCACAGAAATTTAATTTAGATAATACAAGTGACTCACACAGTAGGATTTTAACCGATCTATCCAACACATGGCGAGATTGAAATATGAGTTTAAGAGCTCCATAGGCTTTTTGTAAGCAGCTACTAATATGGTGCGTGAATCTTAAGTTCTCATCAAACCAGACTCCCAAATTTTTTACTTTTTCACTAAATTGTATAGAATTACCATTAATTAAAATTTTTGATGAGTACTCTGTCTTAAACTCCTGCGACTCAGCTTTACTTCCAAAAATGATTGCATTAGTCTTAGATGCATTTAGTTGTAGACAGTGGTTGATTGAAAATGTATGAAGATTATGCAAGTCATAATTGATAGCAGTTACCGCTTGATTTGCTTCATCCAAGGAAAAAGACATATACAACTGCGTATCGTCAGCGTAGTAATGTTGTAAACACGAAAAGAAAATATCAGGAAAATTAGATATATAAACAGAGAAGAGTATAGGGCCTAATATTGAACCTTGGGGCACTCCGGTATCCACAGATAAAAAACTTGATACACTTGCTTGATTCTTTACAGCTTGACTTCTCTCAGATAGATAAGATTTAAATAAATCCACAGCTTTAATATCCAAACCACTATAAGATAAGATCGAAAAGAGTAAATTATGATTAAGAGTGTCAAATGCTTTGGAGTAGTCAAATAGTAACAACACAGTTAATTTATTTTTATCAAGAGCTGTCATAATGTCATCAGAGATGTTTAATAGTGCTGTTGTACAACTGTGGCCAGTTTTGAATCCAGACTGTACTGAGGGTATTACGGAATTTTTAGCCAAGTGATTCTGTAGTTGTATATTGATAGCTTTCTCTAAGATCTTTGATAGAGTTGGCAATACACTGATCGGTCGTAATTCTTGTAATGTTTGTGGATTATTTACTTTAGGCAAGGGAGTAACAAAAGATTTTTTCCAATTTTGAGGAAACACAGAGTTCAATAAACAAAAGTTGATTATATGGGTGATATACGGCAACAGAAATGGTAGGCACAAGTTTAAAGTGAGAATATTGATGCCATCTGGTCCAACAGCTTTACTTCTAATTCCTTTTATTATATTGAGAATATCAGTTTCAGATACTGGTTGAAACGTGAGTATTGTATGTACCGATTTTTTAATATTATGTTCATAGAACTGTTTCGTGTCATCATCAGGAGTCAATTTAGGAACAGCGTTCAAAAAGAATTCATTGATTTCATTCACATTCCATTTATTTGAAAAATCCATATCATTATGATCTTTTTCGAATCCCACAACCGTCTTCAGACTAGACCACCTCCCTTTGTGTGACATATTCTTCATTTTAAATTTGATATATCCCTTTTTTTCTTTTTTAATAGTTCCATTTACTAAATTACGTAATTGTTTGTAAGACTGCCAGTCGTTATTTCTTTTGGTGATTTTGAATTTGTTTAAGGCTCTATCTCTATCAGAAGTCATAGCCTTGATTGTATCAGTTAACCAAGGAGCGTATTTCTTTGTAATTCTAAAACTTTGAAAAGGGACGTGAAGATCCAGGATACTAGTGATATTATCAGATAAGAATTGCACTTTGCTATCTACATCGTTTAATTCAAATATGATGTTCCATGGTATCGATTGTAGGTCACTATTGAATTGATTGTAATCTAGATTTTTAAAATTTCTACTGATGATGTATCTAGGTTCATTTCTTACTAATTTTAATCTAATATTGAATAAAATCATTTCATGATCCCCTACTTCCGGAATATGTTTAACTTTTTGTTGCATTATAATATTATCATCAGATGTTATCAAATAATCCAGCAGAGTAGCTGAATGATAAGTGATGCGTGTTGGTTCCTTTATTAGTTGTTTTAACCCTAGACCCTCAAGAGTATTCGCCACTAGTTCACATGCGGCACTATTAATATCAAAAAGGTCCACATTGAAATCACCTAAACAAATAATATAGTCCACTGTAGGTTGAATGGATGATATCGCAGATTCGAATTGTTCAAAAAAATAATTACAAAGTCTTACATGAGGGTTATAGAATACGCCTAGACCAAAGGTCTCGGACTTATAGGAAATCTTCAACCACATCTGTTCAATTTCTTTACCACTAGGAATACGTGAGTATTTTATACTATTTTTTATGTAAATACCTATTCCACCTCCACTGATATCTCGCCCACGATCTACTCTCTCAAAAAAATAACCAGGTATGCTAATAACATCATTCGATATATAACTTTTAAGCCATGTTTCACTTACTGCGAGTAAATCTAAATTGAGATGCAGAATTAGATTTTTCACTTCATTAAAGTGAGCTACCAATGAACGAGCATTAAGATGACCACATTGCAGGAATTGCTGCATGTTTACGAATTAAAAGAAAAATAACATCTTACAATAGATATAATATAAACTATCAGCTTCGACCTCGGCTTCGACTATAACAAAATTGATTCAAACTTAAGTAAGTAGACGATTAAAGTCTTAATAATTAAATAGGTCTAACTCCCTTAAAACAAGAAGAGTAAGAGCTAAAGTAGAATAAGTAGCTATAAATTACTGATAAATAATAATGTATGTCCTTTCCTATATTAATAACACTATATTATGTAGTATGGGTGTACTACAACAGGGAAAAAAAATACAAAAAAAATCCAATCAACAATAAGTAATGCGCTGCCAAAATCGCGCCCTGAGTTGATCACAATAATTAATTATAAGGAGAAACTAAACAAATTCCCCCAATAGAAGATAATATTCAAAGAAACATATTGTATGGTTTGTTAAATTTCACATGTATACAGTGCCACAAACCAAATAAACAACTATGACAGTGTTATCAAGTCAAGTCAATTATCGATTTTATAGGTTTCCTCGTATTGTTCAGAAATGCGTAAATGTTACCTTCATATGTCCAGCAGTTTTTGGCACCCACAGATTCACGCACTTTCATGAATAAGTTTCGATTTTCAGAGGATAGCATTTCACTGATCACAACACCACTTCCCTTTAGATTTTTCTTAGCGGCAAACACTTTCTGCTTCATCCATTTATTTACAAATTTAACAGCCAACGGCCTAGGCTTCTTATCTTGACGTTTTTTTCCCATCCGATAGCAGGTATCGATGTTAGTATTCAAAATAGATAGTTTGAATTTTTGGTTGATTAGTTTAACAACGACATCCAGTAGATCTTCCTTCTCTTTCTCGTCAATACCATTTATCACCAGGAATTTTGATCGTTGGTCTCGCTTTAGTGTTTCCACATCTTTTTGTTGGTTAATAATTCTTTGGTTGATATTATCCAATTCTGATTTGATGTCTTTGATTGACTCACGAAATTTGTTTTCAAAAACATTTATCGAATCAGCTAAGTTATCTTGATTGCCTTCCTTCGGCGACATTTGTCCTTTTATGTCCGCCAATCCTTGGTGTAGCAATGCTTCCAGTTTTTCAATCCGTGATGCGAGTTGTTTGTTCTGATTTTTATCCGTAGTTGACATGTTTCCACGGGTATCAACTGGCATTATATGTTTTACAAACACTAAGTTACCATACACACTTAACTGGGCGAATAAACAAGAATATGCAAATTGATCACAGAGAGCGACTCCAGCACGTCCTACTCAGTTGACGCCATCTTAACTTCCCAACCGATCTCTCGGTGGATCCTAGAATAAACAAGATACATATCAGAATCGCTGTACAATTTATGTTTGATCTGATTATAATTTGAAGACTATGAATAGAATATGGAAATTAATATAATATCAAGAACATTTCACCTGATTTCCATATCGATTTCCATCATCTATGATTCAATTTTGTTGGAACAAATGTTTATTTAGTTTGTTCACGAAATAATTAACCAAAAGTCATAACATCTCAGTCATAACCTTGCCGATCAGCTGGTAGCAGCTATTCATCTCTGTCTTATTCATCCGTTCCATGTCATGCTGCAACTTTACAGCTATAGCCGATCAGCTGGTATCAGCCATGTTCTTCCCTGCGTCAGCGCCTATAAAGATATATCAACTCACGAAACGCACGAAAATCACCTGTAGCTCGCGGTCATCAGTTTGGTTATTTTCATCTTTCAGACAGAGAAGTCATCGTCAAAAGTATTCGTGTACTTACGGGTAATTCGGCATCGTTCGGAGATATCTTCGTGCTCATTGGTCAGGAAAGTTTGTTATTAAGTTTTTCAAAGTAGGTTTTGGGAATGATTGTTACTGAATAGGAGAGGACACTATTCTCTATCTTTGCACGAGCACCTTTGGACAACACTTTGTCCCATGATCGGTGATTGTCAGCCACATAGGAGGATAACACCTAAGGCCTACGACCCATTAAACCTGATCGAGGTCGGGGTTCAGCTTCATTTGCAATACAGACACGACACCTCTTCACATATCAAGCAACGTCCGAGCGCATCTTCGACCAATAATAAGTTGTTATACGACGCTATACATAGTGGAGTATACTACGGCCTTGCCACAAACGCTATCTCGGAAACTAAGCGAGATAGAGGTATAGTTACTCTCTGTCTGTCTGTCTATCTGTCTGTCTGTCTGTCTGTCTGTCTGTCTGTCTGTCTGTCTGTCTGTCTGTCTGTCTGTCTGTCTGTCTGTCTGTCTGTCTGTCTGTCTGTCTGTCTGTCTGTCTGTCTGTCTGTCTGTCTGTCTGTCTGTCTGTCTGTCTGTCTGTCTGTCTGTCTGTCTGTCTGTCTGTCTGTCTGTCTGTCTGTCTGTCTGTCTGTCTGTCTGTCTGTCTGTCTGTCTGTCTGTCTGTCTGTCTGTCTGTCTGTCTGTCTGTCTGTCTGTCTGTCTGTCTGTCTGTCTGTCTGTCTGTCTGTCTGTCTGTCTGTCTGTCTGTCTGTCTGTCTGTCTGTCTGTCTGTCTGTCTGTCTGTCTGTCTGTCTGTCTGTCTGTCTGTCTGTCTGTCTGTCTGTCTGTCTGTCTGTCTGTCTGTCTGTCTGTCTGTCTGTCTGTCTGTCTGTCTGTCTGTCTGTCTGTCTGTCTGTCTGTCTGTCTGTCTGTCTGTCTGTCTGTCTGTCTGTCTGTCTGTCTGTCTGTCTGTCTGTCTGTCTGTCTGTCTGTCTGTCTGTCTGTCTGTCTGTCTGTCTGTCTGTCTGTCTGTCTGTCTGTCTGTCTGTCTGTCTGTCTGTCTGTCTGTCTGTCTGTCTGTCTGTCTGTCTGTCTGTCTGTCTGTCTGTCTGTCTGTCTGTCTGTCTGTCTGTCTGTCTGTCTGTCTGTCTGTCTGTCTGTCTGTCTGTCTGTCTGTCTGTCTGTCTGTCTGTCTGTCTGTCTGTCTGTCTGTCTGTCTGTCTGTCTGTCTGTCTGTCTGTCTGTCTGTCTGTCTGTCTGTCTGTCTGTCTGTCTGTCTGTCTGTCTGTCTGTCTGTCTGTCTGTCTGTCTGTCTGTCTGTCTGTCTGTCTGTCTGTCTGTCTGTCTGTCTGTCTGTCTGTCTGTCTGTCTGTCTGTCTGTCTGTCTGTCTGTCTGTCTGTCTGTCTGTCTGTCTGTCTGTCTGTCTGTCTGTCTGTCTGTCTGTCTGTCTGTCTGTCTGTCTGTCTGTCTGTCTGTCTGTCTGTCTGTCTGTCTGTCTGTCTGTCTGTCTGTCTGTCTGTCTGTCTGTCTGTCTGTCTGTCTGTCTGTCTGTCTGTCTGTCTGTCTGTCTGTCTGTCTGTCTGTCTGTCTGTCTGTCTGTCTGTCTGTCTGTCTGTCTGTCTGTCTGTCTGTCTGTCTGTCTGTCTGTCTGTCTGTCTGTCTGTCTGTCTGTCTGTCTGTCTGTCTGTCTGTCTGTCTGTCTGTCTGTCTGTCTGTCTGTCTGTCTGTCTGTCTGTCTGTCTGTCTGTCTGTCTGTCTGTCTGTCTGTCTGTCTGTCTGTCTGTCTGTCTGTCTGTCTGTCTGTCTGTCTGTCTGTCTGTCTGTCTGTCTGTCTGTCTGTCTGTCTGTCTGTCTGTCTGTCTGTCTGTCTGTCTGTCTGTCTGTCTGTCTGTCTGTCTGTCTGTCTGTCTGTCTGTCTGTCTGTCTGTCTGTCTGTCTGTCTGTCTGTCTGTCTGTCTGTCTGTCTGTCTGTCTGTCTGTCTGTCTGTCTGTCTGTCTGTCTGTCTGTCTGTCTGTCTGTCTGTCTGTCTGTCTGTCTGTCTGTCTGTCTGTCTGTCTGTCTGTCTGTCTGTCTGTCTGTCTGTCTGTCTGTCTGTCTGTCTGTCTGTCTGTCTGTCTGTCTGTCTGTCTGTCTGTCTGTCTGTCTGTCTGTCTGTCTGTCTGTCTGTCTGTCTGTCTGTCTGTCTGTCTGTCTGTCTGTCTGTCTGTCTGTCTGTCTGTCTGTCTGTCTGTCTGTCTGTCTGTCTGTCTGTCTGTCTGTCTGTCTGTCTGTCTGTCTGTCTGTCTGTCTGTCTGTCTGTCTGTCTGTCTGTCTGTCTGTCTGTCTGTCTGTCTGTCTGTCTGTCTGTCTGTCTGTCTGTCTGTCTGTCTGTCTGTCTGTCTGTCTGTCTGTCTGTCTGTCTGTCTGTCTGTCTGTCTGTCTGTCTGTCTGTCTGTCTGTCTGTCTGTCTGTCTGTCTGTCTGTCTGTCTGTCTGTCTGTCTGTCTGTCTGTCTGTCTGTCTGTCTGTCTGTCTGTCTGTCTGTCTGTCTGTCTGTCTGTCTGTCTGTCTGTCTGTCTGTCTGTCTGTCTGTCTGTCTGTCTGTCTGTCTGTCTGTCTGTCTGTCTGTCTGTCTGTCTGTCTGTCTGTCTGTCTGTCTGTCTGTCTGTCTGTCTGTCTGTCTGTCTGTCTGTCTGTCTGTCTGTCTGTCTGTCTGTCTGTCTGTCTGTCTGTCTGTCTGTCTGTCTGTCTGTCTGTCTGTCTGTCTGTCTGTCTGTCTGTCTGTCTGTCTGTCTGTCTGTCTGTCTGTCTGTCTGTCTGTCTGTCTGTTTGTCTGTCTGTCAGTCTGTCTGTACTCTGTGGTAATCATAAATCGATATATCTCCGGAACCCTTCGACACATCGACTTAAAATTTTGCCATCTTATTGTACTCAAAATAATATTATGTCATCAAAATATGAAGGAAATCGGAAAACTCTAAGGTGGTTTTTCCGGTTTTTTTCGATTTTTCACCGGAAGTTTCTTGTGACCACTTTACAAATCGCAAAAGTGGTCCGATCGATCTCATTTTTTGTGAAAACTCTATCAGGAAGAGACGAAGCCTATCGAAATTGGGCAGGGTCGGAAAATTCCAAGTTGGTTTTTCAAGGAGATTTTCCGAAACACACGTTTCGCTTTAAAACGACATATCCCCTGAACCAATAGACTAAATCCAAAATTGAAAAATGCACCGTATGCCTCTTTGATGACGCAACAAATTATTATTCCACCAGTTCTTCGTGCATCCATCGGAAAATGGAAAAACAAATGAAAATCAAAACATCAAAATTTGAAATCCTTTCAATTCAATATATATCGACAACAAATGGAAAAATCGAAAATTATTAAAAGTGCAAAGTAATCCACTGGAACATTTCCTACAAGTTATCACCCAAAATTTTTTCTGTAAACCCAATAGTACAGGAAATAAAGTGAAAAATATGAAAAAAAATAAATTTCAACGACCCATAGGGTACCATGGAGATATATTGAAAAACAAAGATTATCGATAGATAAAGCTCATCTACTTCCACTGAACCATAAAATTATGTTTCCTTCTGTTGATTGGAAGATGGAACAAAAGTGTTGAAAATTTTATTCTCAGATAATTCCAAATATCTCAAAAAACAACTGAAAATATATGAAAATGTTGAAGAACCAAAATTATGCCTTTTGATAAAATCTACAAAAAATCCGTATAACATTCTTCTCTGAATTCAATAGTTCGGAAGATACGATGGAAAAACTAAAAAATCTACAAGTTCCCAGATAATCACTTGCCAATAGAAAACAAAACCAGAAACAGAAGAAATTAATAAAAGCACACTCGACTGTCTTGATTTTTTCCCACAAAATACGTACCTAACTCACTCGACTGGGCTAGGTACGTAGTTTGTGTGGAAAAACCAAGACAGTCGAGTGGGCTAAGTACGTAGTTTGTGGGAAAACTCTCCAGTTCTCTGAACTTCCATAGCGTCAAATACACATCTCTAGTGCCCAATGATAGTTTCAATATAGAAATATGCTCAAGATATGGTGCCATGGCCTCTACTCCCATCTTACATGAGCAATGATGAAATATCATCTGCTTTTATAGCGTCCTATAAATTATCTGACCTCTATACTAATCGAATACCTAATGGAAATTACATCTATACTAATCTGATACCTTTCAAAAACTACGTACCTCACTTGTTCGGATCCGTTCGTATGTTTTATATATTCCAGTGTGCTCAGACGTTTTCTTATCGTGTGCATCCTGAAGGGCTTCAATTCTTTTATCTTCAGGTGAAACTATTTTCCAAGGGTCACTTTCTTGCTGATATAGTGACAGGGTAATATCTACTTTTGATAGGAGGAGAATCCACTATGATGCGA